AGCTAGCATCCTGTGACCCTGATTGCTACATTCTAGTACACTGGCACTCCTCAGTTTCAATGGGTTACCCTGGGTGGGGTTTCTCTTTTCTCTTTCCTACAGGCAGAGGCTCCTTCTGGGTCCTTGCTTCCCCCAGGGGGTTGGGTTGGTGGTGATTGGGAATTTTCTTCCTTATTCTATTTGGGTATGCTAATTTCTGGACTGTCAGAGGGTTCTGCATGTGTCTTTCTATGGATCAAGGCAGTTGTGTGGGTTGTACATGTATCTCTCACCTCCAGCTGTGCTACTGCATGTGGCAGTGTAATTCCCCTTGTGGGTTGAGCTACTGGGTCATGGGTCTGCACTCACTCACCTCTTTGCCTGGGCTCTGCTGGTTACTCTCCCTTGTCAACGTAGTTAAGTGGTCTGTGGGCCACCTGCACAGCAGTGGTAGCTGATGCTGTGGTGATGTGCTGCCCTTGCAGCAGAAGTGGCTATGGCAGTGGCTGTGGTTTACCACCCATGTGGCAGCGGTGTCTGCAGCAGTGGCAAGGGCTGCCTGTGGCTGCTGAGGCACCCATGCACACTTCCTGCCTTCTTTTGGTCTGGTGGTAGGCTCCACATGGCTGTTCAACATGGGACTTTTAGTGTTAACACTGGTACAGAGCTAGACAATTTGGGATAAGTCGTAGCCATAATTATAGAGAATGTTCTAGGATACAGGTTGAGGAGACTGTATTTCACTTGGTAGGAAATGGTGAGCCATTGATGGGGAGCAAGGAACTGACAAGATGTCTTTTGGGAAGAGAAGTCTGAGGTGGAGAGACAAGTCTCCATAAGTAGTATATGAACTAAATGTAATGTGGACCTGGGTCAGAGTTGTAGAAGGGGAGGTGACAGGTTGAGAACGTAAGGAAACAACTTGAGATACCATTTACAGGCTATGGCTGGACAGACAGGAGAAAGAGATAGATCTATGAGGCTTGGTATCCGGCTGACTGGCAAAGTGTTAACCCCATAAGCAGGAGCTCAGAAGGCAAGACAGAAAGGTAGGTTGTGGGTAGAGATAGATGAGTTTGGAAAGAGGCAAATTTGGTGTTGGCCAAACATTCAGGTGTCAATGACTAATAGAACTGGTGTCCAGCTAGGACTTGGACATGTGGGTTGGCTGCTTGGAAAGGTGTTTGTTTTTTCATTGTGCACTTTTTTGTTCATTCATCCATTTATTCATTTGTTCATTTTACAGATGACTTATTTGTTGTGGTCATTGTCTGGGATACAGCAATGAAAATGACATAGTTCCTTGGCCTCAAGATATTTATAGTCTGTCTGGACAGTCACCAAGTAATTAAATACTGTGTCTCAGGATTTTCTACACCCACGACTCACTCTCAGACANGAGGTGACAGGTTGAGAACGTAAGGAAACAACTTGAGATACCATTTACAGGCTATGGCTGGGCAGACAGGAGAGAGAGAGAGATCTGTGAGGCTTGGTATCCGGCTGACTGGCAAAGTGTTAACCCCATAAGCAGGAGCTCAGAAGGCAAGACAGAAAGGTAGGTTGTGGGTAGAGATAGATGAGTTTGGAAAGAGGCAAATTTGGTGTTGGCCAAACATTCAGGTGTCAATGACTAATAGAACTGGTGTCCAGCTAGGACTTGGACATGTGGGTTGGCTGCTTGGAAAGGTGTTTGTTTTTTCATTGTGCACTTTTTTGTTCATTCATCCATTTATTCATTTGTTCATTTTACAGATGACTTATTTGTTGTGGTCATTGTCTGGGATACAGCAATGAAAATGACATAGTTCCTTGGCCTCAAGATATTTATAGTCTGTCTGGACAGTCACCAAGTAATTAAATACTGTGTCTCAGGATTTTCTACACCCACGACTCACTCTCAGACACATTGACACAAAGACTTATGGGCACATGAAGACATGTAACTTCATGTACACATGGATAGTGACTCACACACCATCCTCTTGTGCTTCTGCACTCCAGTGACCCAGGAAGAGAGATGTGGGAAACTTTCTAGAGCTGTTCCTAGGACAGTGGAGTGCAAGGACAATGGAGAAGGACTGGAAGATGAGGCCATGGCTGGACTAGCAGTGGGCCATAAATCAGAGTGCAGGGGAGGAAAGTGCACAGTCGAGCGATGGGCTTGTCTCAGATGTGATGGGCAGTGTGATGTCATGCTACATACGTCGGGGTCTCTGGAAAAGGAGAGCAAGAATGACCTCTGGCAATAGGAAGGGGGTTGGCAGGAGAGCATGACATAGAAGGAGGTGGCCAAAGACACATCTCTGATATTATCCTGTAAAGAGGTGTTACCTGAAACCATGGGATACATGAAATCAGGAGAAGAGGGGAAGAATAAGAAAAAAATACCAAGGACAGAAAGTTTATATTTTATCAGTAATTGATGGAAAGAATTGTACATTCATTTCAGAAATTCTTGAGAAACCTCTAGAGAAAAAAGCTGGTCGTAACCATGGTCCTGGAGGAAATAAAAAATTGGTTTATTTTATTGATGACATGAATGTGCCTGAAGTGGACTTATATGGGACTGTTCAGCCTCACACTCTGATTCGACAGCATATTGATTATGGACACTGGTAAGCCACTCTCTGTATTGCATTCTCTTCCAGAATCTAGTTATTATTATGGATAAACATTTTAAAATAGGATTATCCCCAATTCCTTACTCTTCTTAGGAGCATTTTCTTTAATACCTTTTGGGTTTATTTCGTATCCCTTTTCATCATATTAAATGGAATTATTTCCCTTTGTATCTTTGGAAGATTGGATTGAAAAGTATCCTAGGAATGTTAAGTCTGTCCAGAAATCATGTCCTCTTTAAGGATTAACTCACACTAAATTATTTAAGAGAAACTTGACCTTATTCTGTAGAATGTAAATTTTTGGTAATATTACAGTCTGCAGTCCCTGACATTAACTACAGGGAAATCTTCTCAACCCATCCATGGAGTCTTGCAATAAGTACAAGACAATTTTGAACCAGTAGTAGAGTCACATGAGAATCAGTAAGCAGTAATAGTTTTTATTGATTCAGCTCAAGATCATGATTTTGGCATCTTCAGTTTTCTGATCTTCAGTCTGGATGTTGCCCAGATAAAGCTAACGAGGTCAACCTCACAGAGCCATTGTAAAGATAAGGAGACAATTTGTGATGAAGGCCTTTGTGAACTGATGGATTTGTCTTGTCATCTCCAGTTTTTGGGGTTTAAGGTTCTATTTTCTTCCTTTTAGGTATGATAGGCAGAAGATGATGCTTAAAGAAATCCACAATTGCCAGTATGTGGCCTGTATGAACCCAATGGTGGGCAGTTTCACAATCAACCCCAGGCTACAGGTACGGTGTTGAGTACTGCTCTCTCCCAAATATCTCTAAATGTTATACTCAAAACTTGTGGATCTTGATTCTTGGCACTTTTGAGTACAAATTAAGACTTCCTCCAAACATTTGGCTAAACCTATAAGCTTTTTTTTTTAATTAGTAGATTTCATACTTTAGAGTAGTTTTAGGTTTACAGCAAAATGAGCTGGAAGTACACAGATCCCATATACTCCTTCACTCTCCCCACTTCATTTTACCCTGTTATTAATGCCTTGTATTAGTTCCAATTGATGAGCCAATATTGATATATTATTATTATTAACTAAAGTTCAAAATTTACATTAGGGTTCATTCTTTGTGTTATACATTCTATGGATCTTGACAAATGTACAATGACAGGTATTCACTATGACAGTATCACACAGAAGAGTACCACTGCCCTAAAATCTCTATGGTCTGTGTATCCATCCCCCTCTCCCCTCTGAATCTCTGGCACAAGTGATCTTATTTTTTTCCTAAATTTTTATTGTGATAAAATACTATTACATAAAATTTACCACCTTAACCATTTTAAGTGTACAGTTCAGTGGTAATAAATACATTTATAGTGTTGTACAACCATCAGCACCATCCACCTCCATAACTTTTTTCATCTTGTGAAACTGAAATTCTATATTCATTAAACAATAACTCCCCACACCTGCCTCCCCTAGCCTCTGGCAACCACCATTCCACTTTCTGTCACTGTGAATTTGACTACTCTAAGCACTTCATATAAGTGGACTGGCTTATTTTTGTGACTGGCTTATTTCACTTATCATAATGTCCTCAGGGTTCATCTGTGTTGTAGCATGTTACAGAATTTCCTTCCTCTTTAAGGCTGAGTGATACTCCATTGTATGTATATACCACATTTTGTTAATCCATTTCATCTCTTGATGTACACTTGAGTTGCTTCAGCATTTTAGCTAATGTGGATAATGCTGCTGTGAACATAGATGTACAAATATCTTTTTGAGACCCTGCTTTCGATTCCTTTGGGTATATACCCAGAAGTGGAATTGCTATATCATATGGTAATTCTATTTTTAATTTTTTGAGAAGCTGCCATACTAATTTCCACGTGGCTGTGCCATTTTTCATTTTCACCCACAGTGCACAAGCATTCCAGTTTCTCCACATCCTTGCCAATATGTTATTTTCTGCTTTGTTTTTGATAGAGCCATGCTAATGGTGTGACATAGTATCTAATTGTAGTTTTGATTTGTATTTCCCTAATTAGTGATGTTGAGCATTTTTTATATGCTTATTGGCCATTTGTATATCTTCTTTTGAGAAATGTCTGTTCAAATCTTTCGTCCATTTTTAAATCAGGTTGTTTGTTTTGTCATTATTGAGTTTTTGTTGTTATTGACTTCNACCATCCACCTCCATAACTTTTTTCATCTTGTGAAACTGAAATTCTATATTCATTAAACAATAACTCCCCACACCTGCCTCCCCTAGCCTCTGGCAACCACCATTCTACTTTCTGTCTCTGTGAATTTGACTACTCTAAGCACTTCATATAAGTGGACTGGCTTATTTTTGTGACTGGCTTATTTCACTTACCGTAATGTCCTCAGGGTTCATCTGTGTTGTAGCATGTTACAGAATTTCCTTCCTCTTTAAGGCTGAGTGATACTCCATTGTATGTATATGCCACATTTTGTTAATCCATTTCATCTCTTGATGTACACTTGAGTTGCTTCAGCATTTTAGCTAATGTGGATAATGCTGCTGTGAACACAGATGTACAAATATCTTTTTGAGACCCTGCTTTCAATTCCTTTGAGTATATACCCAGAAGTGGAATTGCTAGATCATATGGTAATTCTATTTTTAATTTTTTGAGAAGCTGCCATACTAATTTCCACGTGGCTGTGCCATTTTTCATTTTCACCCACAGTGTACAAGCATTCCAGTTTCTCCACATCCTTGCCAATATGTTATTTTCTGCTTTGTTTTTTGATAGAGCCATGCTAATGGGTGTGACATAGTATCTAATTGTAGTTTTGATTTGTATTTCCCTAATTAGTGATGTTGAGCATTTTTTTATGCTTATTGGCCATTCTTATATCTTCTTTTGAGAAATGTCTGTTCAAATCTTTTGTCCATTTTTAAATCAGGTTGTTTGTTTTGTCATTATTGAGTTTTTGTTGTTATTGACTTCTCTATGTATTGTGGATATTAATCCCTTAAACTCTAATATCTTAACTGCCTCTGTAATTTTGCCTTTTCCAGAATGTCATATAGTTGAAATCATATAGTAGGTAGCCTTTTCAGATTGGTTTCTTTCACTTAGGTTATACATTTAAGGTTCCTCCATGTCTTTTCATGACTTTATAAAAACTTCCTTCATTTCTTTTTATCACAGAATAACATTTGTTTTATGAATGCACCACAGTATGTTTATCCATTCACCTATTAAAGGACACCTTGGTTTATTTCAAGTTTTGGCAATTATGAATAAAGCTGCTGTAAACATTTGTGTGCAAGTGTTCGTGTGTGCATATAAGCTTTTTAATAGTAGTAGTAACAGCTATAGCCACCACCAACATACATACAACAACAGCATACAGTGACTGGGAAATGTGGCTCTACTTTATGTGTCTTTCATCCTTTAGCAGGCTGTTAAGGTCATGGCAAAGTCAGAGGCTTAAGAGAACATGTGGAAACACACAAGCCTCTGACAGTGTCACTTCCACTTCATTCTGTTGACTTAAGCAAGTCACAAGGCCAAGCCCAGAGTCAGAGTGCGACATGGCAGCAGGATATGGGGAGGAGTGAAAAATTGGGCCATATTTTGTAATTTTCTGGTATGATTAAAATCCCTATTTTATACTACTCTTATATATGCTTTTCTTTTCAGAGACATTTCACAGTATTTGCATTCAACTTTCCATCCTTGGAGGCACTAAACACCATTTATGGCCAAATCTTTAGTTTCCATTTCCAGCAGCAAGCATTTCATCCGTCAGTTCTCAGGAGTGGCCCCACTTTGATCCAGGCAACAATAGCATTCCATCAGATGATGATGCATAACTTTTTACCCACGGCTATTAAATTTCACTACATCTTCAATCTGAGAGACCTATCAAACATCTTCCAGGTACCTTGACCACTCTATGTTTTGCCTCTTGAGTCGAGAAATCATTATAGTAAGGTTAATGGTGTTCACTCATAGAATTTAGGTGAAAACTATGCTACATACTTTTACATGTATTCTTTCATTTTATGCTCAGAAACTTCTCTCTGAAGTAAATACGGAAGATTTATTATTCCCATTTTATCAATGAGAACAGTGGTTCTCCTCCCATTGTATAGTGTCTTAGTCCATTTCTGCTGCTATAAGAAAATACCTGAGACTAAGTAATTCATAAATAACAGAAATTTATTTCTCAGAGTTCTGGAGGCTGGGAAGTCCAAGATCAAAGTAGTGGAAGGTTCGGTGTCTGGTGGGGGCCTGGTCTCTGCCTCCAAGATGGCACCTTGTACTCTGGGTCCTCACATGGCAGAAGGGATGGAAGGACAAAAGGGGTGAATACCTAGCACCTCTTTTTTTTAAAGTCACTCTGCCCTTACAACTTAATCACCTCCCAAAGGCTCCATCTGTTAATACTATCACATTGGTGATTAAGTTTCAACACATGAATTTTGAGGAAAATTCAAACCATGGCATTTTGAGACTTAGCAATAGAAACAAAAGCAGAAGTCTGGACTCCCTATTGAATGAGTGAGGGAGTGCTTACTTTATTTATTTGTTTGTTTGTTTGTTTGTTTGTTTATTTATATTGGTTATGAATACTCATGAGATACAAAACTGATTGTCACCCCTCGTATCCAAGATGTGAAGTCCAGATCCATACTGGCAGCATGCACCTTACCACAAATTGCGATTGTACACTGTGTCCCCACCCAATTATCCTCAATCTCCCTCCCCCTCTCCCTTTACCCCCCACTCCACTTTGTATCCCTAGGTATGTTCTCTCCTGCAAGTCCAATGCACCACTGTGGTCTTTCTTTCCTTCTTTCTCTCTTCGCTCCCACCTATGAGTAAACGCATGTGGTATTTATCCCTCTGTGCTTTGCTTATTTTACTCAACAAAAGTTTCTCCAAGCTCATCCATGTTGTTGCAAATGGGAGAATTTCATTCGTGTGTGTGTGTGTGTGTGTGTG